ATGTTACTGATTTGATGTGGCTATTAAAATTTAAGTCTGAGTCCAGTATTACCCCTAGATTTCTGACCTTGTTTGAAGGTTTTAGGGAGAGAGACTGTAGATGACAGATGACTCTCTTTGTTTCTGGGGACCAAAGACAATCATTTCAGTTTTGTCTGCGTTTAGCTGAAGGAAGTTGTTTTGCATCCAGTCACTGATCTGTTGGATACAGTGAAGGAGTGAGTCTACTGGTCCATGTTCTCCTGCAGTCAGTGAGACATAGATCTGAGTGTCATCTGCATAGTTATGATAGGAAACTTCGTTTCTGCGTATTAACTGACCTAACGGCAGCATGTAGAGATTGAAAAGAAGAGGTCCCAGGATCGACCCCTGTGGTACTCCACAGGTCAGGGCCATATGATCTGAGACACAGTTTCCAATCTCCACAAAGTACTTCCTGTCTTCAAGGTAAGACCTAAACCAACTTAGGGCGGTGCCAGCGACGCCAACCCAGTCCTCTAGTCTCTGTAAGAGGATCTCATGGTCAACAGTGTCAAAGGCAGCACTCAGATCTAACAGGATTAGGATTGAGACTTTGCCTGCGTCAGTGCTTAGCCGGATATCGTTTGTAACCTTGACGAGAGCAGTCTCAGTGCTGTGGTGGGGTCTAAAGCCGGACTGAAACATATCAAATGAGTTGTTGATTACAAGAAATCTAGTAAGCTGTAGGTAGACAACTTTTTCAAGGACTTTCCCCATAAATGGCAGATTTGAGATGGGACGGTAGTTGTTAAGTACCGTAGCATCCAGACTGCTCTTTTTAAGCAGGGGCCTGATGACTGCAGTTTTCAGGGCCTTTGGGAATATTCCAGAATGAAGGGACATGTTTACTATCTGTGTGAGTGAAGGTAACAGACTGCTCAGAACAGACTTTAGAAATCTAGTGGGTAGTACATCCAGGCTACATGTGGAGGCGCTCAGACTGGAGATTATCTCTTGGACAGTTTGATCATTTACAGGTGCAAAGTAAGTTAGCTCAAAGAGCCTTTTAGGCTGTTGGATGGTTATCTGTGGATTGGAGACAATGGCGTTTTTGATGCCTTGAACCTTGTCATTGAAAAAATGTGCAAACTCATTACATTTACGTTTGGAAGTTAGCTCTAATGGCATCTGAACAGGGGGGTTTGTTAATCTATTAACTGTTGAAAACAGAACACGCAGATTGTTGCTGCAGCCTTCAATCATTTCAGAAAAATACCTTTCTCTCGTACTACGTAGCGTGTTCGGATATGGTACCAGCGTAATGGAAACACAACCAGGTAGAGTAGAGCCGAGTCGAGCAGGGCCAAATTTCCAAGACTAGTTTTGACTTTCTCACCAAGAGTTATGAAAAACTCTGATGAGACAAGCTACAGAACTATGTTTTAGTGTAAGAAAACTGCACATATATTCATGTAATACTCCGGGAAAAGCAATGACACCTCTATGTCGACAAAACCAACCCAAGGAAAGTTACATAGTGCAGCTTTAAGTGCATTGCGGTGTAGGCTTCACACTCAAACACCCCATTCATATCAGTAGTCAATCAGGTCACAGTGAAGAGATCAGAAATGCACATTATAAGACGCACATACGCACACACGCACACACTTTTACATTCGTTAAAATTCAAAACATTTGGAGACAGAAAGCAAATGACAGAATTAAATTTACAGTCACAAAACACAACGCAGGTCAATTCTTTTTTTTCCGTTCGCTTTTTTTTGTACAAAACACAGCGACGCATGTGGGACGATGGCCGATACGAATGCATAAACTAAAGCAGCGTTTTTCAACCCGTGGGCCATGGCACGCTAGACCAACCAGTGTGCCTTGAAGATGTTGTTTGCTGTGTCTTGGGACATGATGCATTATAGACTAATTGGTCAAAATTATGTGAGAATATTAGAAAGACTTTTTGCACTTGTTTGAGTTTCTAAATAATACACATTGATGAAAGTGACTTTGCATTGTTAATAACGGCTACATAGGCTCGTTTTTGTATCAGTTTGAGCTGGTGGTGTCTACTGTGAAAGGCGTAACATGGGAAAAAAAGAGAAATGTCTCTGATGATCCAGGACACTCAAAAATATAATAATCCTACAATATTTATGGACATTGGTCATCTGTGTTTTTATCGTTGCATTTCTTGTGTTTGAAATGTTTGATTTTCTGATCTGTGTTGGCAAATTCAAAGGTTTTGAAAAGTCCTCTTAGATGTTGTGATTTAGGGCTATACAAGAATACATTGAATTGTCTTTGAGCTCCATCAGTAAAATCTTTTAAATCACCTCTTATAACCCACTTATCGAATGGCCTTTTCATAACAGTCTCTTTTAAACTCTTTTCCTTTTCCACATTGTTTTGTTTTTCTTGTTGTCTTTCTGCTTGTATCTCCTGTTTTTCTTTTTGATATGTTATATTATTATGACTGTTATGTTTTTGTTGCTTTATGCTAACCCTGTCACAATGCTATACAAAAAAGGATTTATTATTATTGTTGTTATTACCGACCACGAATGTGATGTTTCGGGCTTTGACCCTTCATCAGACAACAGATTATTCTCTTTTTTTCCCATGATTCACTTTATTAAAATCCCTGACGCTCGATCAGGTTATGTGGATGTGCTGCCTTATTTGCAACCCTGATGTGAAAGAGGTGCCACGGCTCACAAAGGTTGGGGAACACCGCACTAAAGAAGACTATCACAGGAGCAAATGTGAACGAGAAAAGTACAAGACAGGTTGTTTTGGTCCCGTGACATTAGTATGTTAGGAAGGCTAAGTGCAGGTTTCATCATATAAACTCCTATTATAAATCTACTCTGCTATAGTTCAATAACAGCTTTGACTTTACACGTATAAGCCACTGGTTTTGTATGACTTCGGTGCTGGTGACATGAGTTTAACATAGAAATTGAGTGTCAAGGGACGAAAGGTGGAAGTTGTCAGTGATTCAAAAACAATATACAATTTACAGCACACAATGGGCAATAATTGGAGCACGAAAAGTATAAACAGTTGATAAAATCAGCCACATGTCGAACGAGTCGAGCGTCGTCTTGTGATCAGAGGTGGAAAGTAGCCACAAGAGACACAGATTTTCAATTCAGGATAATTCAACGTATTGAGCTTTTTGTTGACATTGTTTTATTAGTATTTACCAGAGAAGGAAAAAAATATTACAGTTTGTTCCTCAAAATTTAAAGTACAGAACTAAGCTGAACTAAAGTATGCTTCAGTACCTCAGTGAAAGGTGCTTGTATTTCATTTTTAAAAGAACGTATTTTATGGACCATGGGACACTGTATATTATCATGTACAGCAAGTATTTTTCCACAATATATTCCAAATAGTCATTCCCCTTGGCATAACTATGACCAAGAAGATTTGCTGGAGGAGAACAGTTAAACCAATGACGAGGAGCCTCAAGGATTTGGAAATATCAAATAAGATAGATATATAATATATAATATAGTTATATAAGCCGCAAGGTCCAGAGAACTAGAAAAAAAGTAGCAGCTTATAGTCCGGAATTTTACGGTAATTTTGCTGGGAGTGGACATACAGTAAAAGAAAAAAACCCAATATGAAGATTCTTGAAAGCAAATAAAATTATTTTGATTTTTATCTAAAATTGTTGTAACTTGGCCAAAACTTGTGGACATCCAATATAAAGCAGTGGCGTCAAAGAGCGCCCCCCAGAGGCCTGCATCATTAAGTTTACATTATAATCTTTCTTGCTGAGCCATGTATCAACTCAAAAATACTAGATGTATTTGTTGTGGTTACTCTCACCTCTGAGCAGGACGTATAAATAAACACATGTATTTGAAGCGTGTATGACATCATGAAATCAGACAAAGCGAGTAAAGAGATAGGCACACATTCAGCCAGCCGTCAGCGCCGGCGGTAACTTTTTTAGGTAGAAAGAGCGTGGTATAGAACATCCTATACTACTCTCCATGTACGTTATAAGGTTTTTTTTAACATAGAGAGAAGTTTCCATAGAATGCCTATATTTACATTAGTTATATCATCAATTATGCTATTTACATTTACTAAAATGAATCAAACTGAAAACAATTGTGGGGCCTATCGTAAATACTGCCAAATTCTGTCATTTTTTGTGTGTCACAACAAGCTGCACACTATGTATATATACAATAAGCAATATATTATGTTTTCTATACACAACATTACAAGGCATTTAGAGGGACAATCAAGAAGCGGACATCAAGAACGCGTCGTGGGAAAATATGAATACAATTTTAGAGGCTTGAGGACAATGGAGAGACTGGCCAATGCTACAGATATAAGAAGGCAGAAGGCAGAGAAAGAATGTCAATTAATAGGAAGAAATGGTTTATAATTGAACACATGATATGTTAAATCCCCTATTTTAAGTATAGATTATATTACAATGTATGCAAAAGTAGCCTTAGATACTCTACTGTTCTTTCTCTTGTTACATATAAATATACAGAACAATCAATGGGACACACGACTAAAACGGCCATTCCAAAGCCTTAAAAACACATAGGAAAGCACTCATGGATAGGTTTGGAGGTGAATATCGACTCCTCTGCATACTAAAGCATTGGTTTGGATGGCAGAGAATGTCTTTTGTGTAGTGAAAAGCTTATATGTGCATCTAGTTTTGCATTTTTGAGTCAGTTTTTCAAAAATAAAATGTTAAAGATAAGAGCTATTTGTACAATGGCAACACGTAAAGAAAAATATACATTTGCTAGCAAGTCTTTTGGAAGTAGAATAATGCACATGGTTTTAGAGGGCTGCAAACAAGATGAAATGAGGGCAGCTTTATAAGAAGTTTGTGTCGTGCGTTGGAGTGACCACTAGAGGGAGACAGAGACCACTTCAGAGCGAAGGGGTAGAGTGGTGTTGCCTGGACTGGAGCAGGAGTGGATGGCAGCAGCAGCAGTGTTCAGTGAGACAGAATTGGGGCCGTGGGAGTTTCATTATTCCATGGCCACTTCTGTAGAAGAGAAAAAAAAATCATGTATGGACCGAGCGTTTATAAAGTCACAAAGGATAACAAGCCGTTGTGTCGCTGTCAATGGTGAGTGGGTTTTTGAATTACACTATGTGAACTAATACGCTGGGGGCACACAATTTAGAGGTGCAATGTGATTTGGAAATTTGAAAAAAATAGGATAGAACACCAAAAAGTGGCTTGTGACCACTAACTGTACGGCAAATGTATTGTTTTAGTTTTCCTTCAATGTTATACTGTATTCTAGTGTATTTGTAAATTGAAGTGTGTTCTTTATTAGTTTTTTTATTTTTAGGCTGGCCTTAATATCTGCCCACAGGACTATCATTAAATATTAGCTTATTTTAGCTAACTCTGGCACATTTACATTGTATAATGTTGATTAATGTGCACTGTCCACTTTCAAATAAATAAATAAATCCATTTAAAAAAAAAAAGAAAAAATGGCTGTACATTTAAAAAAGTTATTTTTTAAAGAAGACATAATATTGGATTCTTGATGTTCATTTCTTTCATTTAGTAATATTGTTTTTTTCTCTATTTGTTTTAATGTCATGTTTTGATATCTAGCTTCTTTAACATAGTCATGTATTATAATAGTCAAAGCTCCACACACTGCAAACAGAAACATGGGACTGAATATTTTCCAACAATCAATTGAAATGTTAGAGTGAAGATATGGGGGAATTGTGTTCTGAAAGTTTGAAGTTTAAGATTAAGATGAAAACCTCCATACATATTGTGTTGCATCTGCAGGCTCTGAAAGATACACACCCTAATATCACATCCTTAATTAAGTTTCTTTGGAATCATTTTGACTTAATTTATTTCTAACTTTATTTGAGTTTGGTATAATAAGAGATAAAGTTTGGTTGTGGATCACTGATCAAAGGAAGGACTACAACAGTGATCATACCATACAGTATGTACTTTCTTCTCCAAATATCCACACAGTACGACTCAGAAGTTCCACACTACCTCACTATTTCAGCTGTTGAGTACCAGCATAATTAAAGAGTTGTTCCAAATAGGTTCAACTCATAGGAGAACAAATGTGGAAATAAAAGGCATGGGGCAGTAATATTTCATTGCAAGGGAATCCATGCACCACCAGAAGGAGCTCACACACCACAGTTTGACAATCACTGATGGATTCACACATAAATGTCACAGTCTTCATTCTTCCAGGTGCAAAATGCAACTTTGACAAGTCAATAACAAAAACATGTTGTATTGTCTTCCAATGAGCAGCGTCATCAGGGGAACATTGATTGGGGTCTCGGTGTAAGACTCATGCTGGCAGTCATGACATTAGACATCAGCTCCTGGTTAAAGCATTTCCTTATAATGCTGCTGAGAATGTGCAGACTCACCATCCACCGCCTTGTTCTTCTGTCCTGCACTTTGTGGAATCGCAGCGCCTTCAGACAGCGCCCCTGAAAAAGTGACACGCCGTCTCATATATTTCAAATCAAAGACAAAAAGATGATATTTATATTCCACTCAACAGACTTAAATGCAGCTTCAGAATAGAATAGAATATCGTCTCTGCACTGTTCAAATGCGAATTTTTACCTTGTGTTTTCACAGATCTGCCCGGGAGGTAAAGTGGTAAAGGTAAAGATTTGGACAAAATGTTCAGGCGATGTGTTTGCTGACCCAGTGAAGAACAGATTACATGTTGTTGCCATCTGTGTAGTGAAGGAGTGGAACGAGGGCTTTTCTCTTTTTCCTCAAATTGACAATGAGACTAGCAATTACAAGGTGAGCAAATCCGTCACAGTATAAAAGCATGAAAAGAAATTGACCCACTAAAGCAGTCACCTTGACAGCAGTGATTGAGAGAGGATTTATACATACATTATGGCTATACATCATTTTATTATTTGCTTGGATTTATTTTAACTGAATAATTATTAGTTTTTATTAAGGCTTGTTTATTTGTTAGTTAGCAACAATACAAAGGTTTACAAGCAGATTTTCAGGAAGTCTTTGAAATGGGACAAGAAACAAATTATTCAATTTTGAAAGTGATCTTTATCCAGGATTCAGTGAGTGGTTAGTGAGGATACATGTTCGTGCAACAAAGTTTAAATCAAGCCCTGATGAAAACAGCATGTTGAAATGCGTTGGAGAATTCTCTAAGTAATTTTGTGAAGTGCTGAGATCAACCTTGCAATGAAATAAATAAAACAGAATCAAGTGAAGTACAATTTAGCTTCTCGTTATTAATAAAACAGCTGTTTGTGTGACACTGATGGCTTCTGTCTGCACACTCCTGCTCTTAGACCCGAATCTTTGCCCGGAGCGTGGAAATGTTGTCCACTTTTAACCTTCTCTGTCACAAGTGCAAGTGAACCAGCCTGATGGACCAGAGCCAGTCCAAATATGTCATTCGTAACTGCGACTGTGGACCAAAAATAAAATGCATTTATGTTGAAAGTTTTTGCAATTATTTCATTAAACATGTGCTGTTTTGCGCAATATAGTTAAAATAACTGTGAGAAAATGGATGTAAAATAAAACAATAAAAGACTTCCTCATAAAAAGGAGAAAACCGGATCAAAGGAAAAATGTAATTCATTAGAGAAAGATGCATGTAAATGTGAGAAATTCCAGTACGTTTGGCATAACTAGATCAAACCATTTCTACTCCGCTTACGCTGGCAAGTAGCAGTTAAACCAGATCCTATTAAGACACCACCAGCAGATGCATTTAAGAGCGCAAGGAAAAGCTATACTTATATTAGCAAATTATTTTGGTTTTGTTACGTGCAGAAAAAGCAGTATTAATTGTGCTGTGGAGAATAAATGACAAGATGTTGCATAGTTACATTTGGCAAACGTGTGCGTCTACAGTGTTTACGATGGCCATTTTCTTTACGATTACTGTTGTAAAGTTTGAGTGCGAAGGCAAAGGTGTTTTCTGTTTATTTTGTGTCTTGTTTTGTTTTTATTTTGTGTCTTGTTTATTGTTTATAGCTTCATGTTGCATGTGTTTGAAATGAGACAAGGCGCCATGGCAAGAGATCTGGTGCACACTGGGGTAGTCTTGTACAGTTATTACAATATGGTTTTACTGCAAAAGGCACAAAAAAAAGAATCTGAATCCAATATTCTTGCTACTACTAAAAAAGAGTTCCGAGATGCATTTGAAACCCACACAAGGCCCCAGCTTATGAGCAGGACTCATGAAGAGAGGAACGTAGTCAGACCGATTTGTATCAACACGAAACAGAGTCCTTTTTAATGAACATACTCCATATAATCATGCTTATCTAACACACTCAGTGTCGGCATAGCAACTGATCATGCAGCAGGCAGCATTCATTTCTTATTTTTCAACCCTGAAACCAAAGACGCCTGCCCGTGCGTGTTTGTGGGTCTAAATTGGTACCGTTTTGCAGTGGTGTGCTCCGGTGGTGGCTGGTCCCAGGCTGCTGCTCTGCTTCTCCTGTGTTGTTCCCATCTGCAGCTCTGACCTCCACTGCCTCTGTGGCCTCCTCTTCCTCCTCGTCCGCTTCCTGCTTCGGATCGGGCACTGCTTGAGCCGGTCCCAGTGGGGGATCCATTGCCTGCTCCTCCGCTTCCCGTTTAGCTCGCTCCTCTGCCTCTGAAGTCACAAAGGCCAGCGTGAGGGTGAGACTGTCTGCCCTACACGAGACTAAAGATAAAACTGTGTTGGAAAAGCGTGTTGGTGCAAGGGGCTTCTACTATCAAGAGGAGATAATATAAAAATGACATTCGATTGAAGTCCACATTATGTTGATATAATAATTACAAAAATGCCAAATACAAAATTCTATGAAATATTCCAACCAAAACAACTACATCGGTGAAGAGATGAGGATATTCAAGTCCAAATTACGTCTTCAAAGTTAGTGATAAAACATAATAACATATTCAACTAAGAAATGGCTGAGACTGTATACAGATGGATAATGCTAACCCCTCACTCGCTTCTATTGACTTACATTAAAAGTAAACGCCTCTTGCTCAGTAACCGTTTGTGTCACACTCACTAATCTGGGCTTAAACAATCTGTGGTTTAGCGCCCTCCATGATCATCGGGTTTTAAGTTTGATATTGTCTTTGTAAATCCAGATATGAGCCATAAGGATTGACCAATCATTCGCTGGGGAAACTCCAGTTTGCCATTGCAACCATGTTAGCAACCTGTTTGCCCCCGTTACGGCTCAAATCTAACCTCATCGGAACAAATGCCCATATAAGGAATTTGACTCCAGCTTGTGTATGTTCACTATGGGTGATGTCAATATGCGGGCAGTCCATTTCTAATACACGGTCTATGGCGAAAGTAAAAAAAAACGAAACAGAAGAAATTAAATATTCCCCAGCTTTGTATTAAATATATTATGCATACTTGAAAGAAAGAGCTTTGGTCTGAGAGCTGATTGGCTGAGTGATAGTTTTGTTGTATCACTGTGAAAACTAGTGATAACACCAAACCTTTATGAGAACTAAGAAATAGCTTTTATGACATAGTTCCATTTTCTTTAGCTTGAAAATTAGAAACTGAATAGAAAGTGACTGCATAAAAAACAGTTTTTAGTTTTTTCTTTTTCTCTACAATATTCACCCATAGCCTTGAGTATTCATCAACTTCATGTTTTATCTCCTCACAAGTTTGACTCTTTTATATCCAAGCTGCCTCTACTCCGAGGTACACCCTGGTACTAAAGCTTAAAGATTAAAACCAGGATGCAGAGAAAGCAAGGACAAACTCATAAATAGAACATTTAAAAGCCTAGGGTGCACTATTTTAGACCTTATTTGGGCATAAAATGGGAAAATCCTGTTGTACTTTGTAACATGCAGAGTAATAAACGTCACTCATTTTTACGAGAGCATTTATCCTGTTCTCCTCGGTCAGATCAGGTTGTAAGACTCCAGTACTTACTCTAGCCATATATCACTGTTATTGGACAAATGTATTTACGTTCTGCCGTCAGTACCTTTAGCCGCTTGTGCTTTCCACCTCTCTCTGTTTTGAGACACCTCCTCATTCCACAAAGCCTTGAAGTTTTTCATGTCGACCGTGAGCAGAGAGCTGTGTCCCGACGAGGCGCTGTCAGAAGCAGAGCTCTTCCTCTTGGTTTCCTCTGAGCCAATACTGTTCAGACTGAGGCAAGACAAACAAGGAGACATAATTTATTCCAGAGTCAATGTGTCAAAGCAGAGAGGAGTGATGTAGGTTGTACTGGAAAAGCTTGGGAATGTTGTAATTTACTGACGTAGATTGAAAGGGGTCACCGACCTTCACCCAGACACTCAGGCACTTGTCAAGTAGCAGTTGTGAGTTTGTTTTTATGAACCAGTGGCTTGTCTAAGATGACGTATAGATACGTAGATGCACCATGATACATTGAATGTATTCATTTGTAAAGACTCCCATATGAAAGCATTGTGGACTTTTTAGAATAAAGAAATATTTTGTGACATCATATTTGTGATTTGGTCATTGTTGGAAAAAAAAAAAATGAATGAAGCATTCTTAACTTTCAAGAACAAGGAAAAACATGAAATTTTCCATTGATAAACTATGATCATTCATGTAATGAGTGATGCTCCAAGAGGTTTTTGATAAAAGTATGTTTGACTGAAATCGAAGTGTATCAACATGTGTTTGAGTTCATAACTGAGGTATGTAACTATCAAACCAGAACAATGAAAGCTGTATGGATATAACTTGCTCAGCTCTCAGCCCAAAACTGTCAAATAGTCCCTTTCTTACAGGTAAGCAAAATATGTTTTCTAATAAAATCAAAACAGCATTCTGTGGTCTGATTTGTTCACTACATTTTCCTTGTATGATTATGAAAAAAGCAAAGGCAGGACCCCACTTTTACACAATGATAATTTGATATCAATAATAAAAAGCCTGTCTGTCATTTAAATGCTCAAGGTTACAATAATCTTTCTGGCAGTTGGCTATTAATGAATTTGTAAAATGCTCTAAATCCGTGATGACAGCCACACAGCCATATTTGGAAGCAGCACCCATGACTAAAGGCAAAGATTAAAAGCATGTTAGAGGAGAATGAGGAAAGACAGGTGTGGAAGCAGAAAGGGCACTGTAAATGCACAGGATGAATGGTCTACACAACCCACAACAGTGTTTCTGTTGTGCGTCTGGTGAGGGGCCTCCACACAGTCCCTGCAGTAAACTCGGGTAATATATCTTCTTCTTCTAGATCTGACAAACCATTTTGTTAAAGTGCCATACGATTCACTGCTGATAATAAATACAAAGGCATACTATAGTTTGATAAGTAGCAAACTTTGACATTCATTATCAGGGGAGAGATGTCTGTATACGTGTGTCTGTGTGTAAATCAAGAAACATATTTCCAATTTTTGTTTGGACACAATTTTAGTGACGAGCCTGCGAATATCCATTCTAATGAGAGGGCTTCAATAATTTTGAACTGTGCAACAGCCTGGAAACTCAGGTCAAGATCTTTGCATGGATTCAGGGACCAATCGCAGAACGGGAGCATTGTCTTGCGAGAGACAGATGGTTGTAGTTTGTTTACATATCCAACAGATGTCAACAGACACATACTTTTTTGCTTCTTCCCTTCTCATCTTATTTGTACTCCGTTGTTGTATTTCTGTCGCGTGACATACGCAATCAGATTGAATCGATACAATTGTGAAGTGTGCTTTCTCACATGTGAAAATTGACGATTGATTCCTAGGTGACATTTCACTTGTCTTAGCCAGGCCATTTATTGACTATGTTCAAATAAGATGTTGTGCGTATTCCTCTTGGTTAAATACAAATCAACATTTATCAGTGATCAGAGCCAAGTCCAGTGTTTTGGGCAATGGACTTATGCCTATAACATTATATAAATGTGAGCCTGATTTTACTTTCTCATCACAAACAATGCATCAGACCAAGCAGAGCAAACCGATTTTCTTTGTGTTTTAGATGGTTGTTGTGTATGCTAAAGCTGTGCCCAGGCTGCTCTCAGTGCTCGGTGCTTGTGGACAACTCAAAAATGTTAATTTCAAGGTTTGCGCCTCCGTCTGCTGAAAGGTGGAATGTTGTCATGCACAAGTTGATCTCCTCTTCCAGGACTCATCTGTTGTTCTCAGTCTGTCTATTCGACTTTAATCACATTGAGAGCACACATTCATGTCAAGGGGATGTTACTTTGAAAGGGTGTAAACAGCCAAGCGACTTGTTGATTAAGGAACGATAATGGAAGTATACGCAGACCTAATCCATCTGCTTTCTACTCTGTAACATTTTCATTTTTATGCCCTTTTGAAAGCGATGAGGAAAGAGGAGCAAAACATGTGATTAGGTAAGAGTAACATTTCCTCAAAGTAACAAAAGGTTGTCAAAAGATTTGTTTGTAATTTTTTTTTCAAGTAAACTAAACATTACATTATATTATATTATAAGTAGGAGGAAACTATATTCATAAGATGACTTAAAGTAGCAGTATGTAATATTTGCATGTCAAGTCATCATTAAATGGCCCCAATATTTCAAAAGGTTTTATTAAAACTATGCTCTTTTCGAATACATCTTTAACTGATAACAGTAGTTCAGCCGAGATATTTGAATATCAAAATTAGTTTTACGACCCGTAAAAGTTGTTAATGTTTTCATTTCGATGTCCCACCCTTCGCCGTTTCGCCAATCAGGAAGTGTTCTGGGTTGCCACAACTCCCTGCAGCTATTTCACTGGTAAAATAACATGTGGCCGCAGAACTAAAAGAGGTCTTGTTATGACTCTCAAATCATTAATGACAAAACAAAGACTAAAACGAGGATTTATATCGGGACACCTTTGAAAAATTGAGGTAATTGAAGGCGGATAAAAACTTTCTGTGATGCAAAACTTTCTGTGATGCAAAACTTGCTGCGTTGAGTGCTTTCTTCATTGACAGTTCAAGTACCCGCCTGGAGTCCATTATATTTAGTTTGAATTGGTGGTCTAATGGTTAAGTCATAGCGCTGGCGGCTGCGGTTCAAATCTGGTCGAGATATGTTTTGGATGAAACTATATATGATTTATTCTATGGCCGATTGCTAAAAAAAAGGTTAAAGGTAAAAACAAGTCGTTAGTTGCAGATTAAAGCTTAATTAAATTTAAGACCACATGTATCCCAATTAAAATAATGTTTGTCTCTTTTTGATGTGGGACTGGTACATGTATGTATAAAAAATAGAGAATACAAAAAATTGAGGGGTGATATCCTCTGGAGGAAACCCTGATGTTGATACACTGAAGAAATATGTTCCAACATCCATTCTTCCCACTATTTTGGATATCAATTGACATCAACATTAGCATGGCTATCATGGCAATGTGAATAGAGACAGACAAACTGATAAAATAATTCCTTGTGTTTGCTGCTGGATTTGGTGTGTATCTGGCAACCTGAGTCAGGGAGAGTGGGAGAGGACTACAAAATATTGACTGTGACTGCAGTACCACTGTTGGCCAGATGTTTACATAATGCTCCTTTAATATAACAGAACTGACCAGATTTCTGCTTTGTAAGTAGCAGTTTGATCTACAGTGGTTTTTAACACATAACTGAGAAAGTCTAATTCATAAATGAGGAATGGCTTTCAGTATTCACCTGGATCTCCTGAAACCTGCCAGGCTGGTGTGCGCAGCCTCCTCTATGAGCGGCGTCACGATGCGCTCCATCATGTCCGTCAGCACGGTGAAGGTGGGCACCACGATGAAGTCAATGAAACCTGAAGACAGACGTGCAACGCATGAACACAAAGTGGAGAAGAGTAACTGCTTCTCTAATATTACAAAGTAGTAGATTATAACAAATGATCACATTCATCACACTTTCACCACATCAGCACGGAGCGCCTCTGCTCAAACACATGCTGTGCTCGTCCATGTGAGACAATAGAATATTATCTCAATCCACGCATGGCAACGCACTGGTCAAGTAAAAACCTCCAGCATAAATAGTGAATTTGAATTGTTGTAGGATTAGACAGTCTTCAACTGCAGGAAACCAAGTGCTGTGTCTAATTGGACAGAATTGCTGCTGCTGTGATGATGGGTTCATCCTGATTATGAACATTATGACAGTCCATCTGACTAATTATTTATTGTATAATGTAGCTACAACCTTCTCAAATCTCTTGTCTATCCTCATCTTTAACAACTGTTAATTAAATATAGTATATCTTATTAAATCAGGTAATAAACAATTTTGTTTAATATACACTTATTCAAACAAGTACACTGATTCATCAAGGACATGTTCACTTGATATCAATTCAGAAGCAAACTCTGAGTGTTTTAAACCAGGCGAGTTCACTGAGGTGATCTCTGGACCAAAGTGAACATTGTGCACCACAAGATTGCTACATTGGCAAAAATATTAGATTTTCCACCTGCATTCTTCTTGTCAACTTACCGATCTGTGACTGGGCCACCATGGTTGACTTTCTATCACACAGCGGAGAGAAAGGCAAGCCAAGCTCAGCCTCTTTGTCCCCCTGAAATTTGAAAACTGTCAGAAACATTCACAAACTTCACTATACCATTGGATACGCTCATGTGGAGGTCTGCACACGTACAGCACTAACCACAAACCGCCCACTCAGAGTATGTGCTAACTGTCATCCGCCACTACTCCCCATATGCTCATAATATCATCCACGGACTGTGAGTCGTCTGGCCCCCGCCCCGAGTCGTTTGGGGCCAGAAATGTGTGTTATTTTCTCTGCTGATTCGTCACAAAACAGATGAGACGTGGAGTTTGTAGAGAGAGGCAATGTTCTGGAGACAAGCTATTTATTGTCAATTCTCGCCAATCCCAAGAGACAAGGCGCCGCTACAATAACAATAGCGCTGATAATGAGAACAATATGGATAAATAATAGCACACATGATAGCAACGCAGCGTCAGTTTTAGACAAATGCCTCACTTGATGATGTTTAGAAATGCATTATTTATTGTTTATGGACAAATGGAATGGTTTGTCACAGATAATGGTTTGTGCATGAGACTGAGAGACGATAGAAAAGTTTGATAAAAGACAGTAGTATACTCTGCTGCTCTCGAGTGTGTACAGATTAATCTACCCATGTATACATACAAGTATTTCTTGCACTAGAGTATACAGTATTTCACACTTTGCTTCTTTTTCAATTAAAGATATAAATTTTCTTTTCTTTTATAGAAAATAAATGAATAAAGTATATGTCATAATTTTAATCTCCACTTTTTTCTTAACGGTATATAGGTGGATCATCAAGACTATTGGTCCTTCTAATTGTCATTCATTCTGTTGGCGTACGTACATGGTCTTTCAAACAAGACCAGAGTGTTTTTGGGAGATTCTTTCACACAATGGCGTGCTAACACAAAGCATTACCTGCGAGTAGAAACTTAGCGCCAAGCTAAGTTTCTACTCGCAGGTAATGCTTTGTGTTCTATCTGAAGAAATCCATTTCAAATCACTTCCAGAAAAAGTTCAAATCTTCTTGGAAAGTGAGCTCGTGTGACTGATGCCAACAGTGACTTGTAAAGAGAGCGTGCATGAGAAGAACTGGGCTTGTGCACGTCTCTCGCTCACGGTTTGGAAGGCGTTCCCTCTTGAGAGCAGGTACAGCGTTGAGCATGTGCATATTTTCAAAAAGGGGCGGTTCTTTCCTATAAATTGGGAAAATCTTCCTATACCTTCAAAAAACACTTTTTGTTCATCAGTGTACATGTGTGTAATAAACTATTATTCATATTATCAATTAGTCCAACACATTGTATGCATTTTAACACTTTTTTGTTTTGTTATTTTTAATCCACATTTAGAAAAGCCTCTTGTTTGAAACTTTGTCCAGACTACACTCATGCATTCCTAAGGATTTCCATCATTTTATAGCAAAACATGTTAATATTTAACAAGATCTTCCTCTTGTTTGTGTTCCTTAATGTATCAATCAGACTGTGAATTAATCAATAGTAATTAGACCAATAATGTTTTTGTTAGAATGGCCCAGTGCAGCCCTTAGTCGAGTGCAAGTGCACATCCAGTTCATCCTCATTTGGTTTGTATGGACAGATATAGAAATGCTTATAGACGCAGACATGGTTTAGTTTTCCTTGATGTGGTACCTGTCTGAAGAACTCCTCGAGCAGCGAGGTGGTCCAGCGGTGGTGCAGGTCCCAGCTCTTAGCCGGGTGACTGATGTCCGCTGTGTGCAGGAGCAGAGAGAGTGCTTTGGGCTTGTCGATCCTGAAAAACAACACAAAGAAAACATCTTTCACATACTTCATCTGCACATAATTATGTACCATGTTAATTAAAAAAGTAGTGAGAAAATGCACACAGGCTCATTTGAGCAGAGTTACTCAGCACATGTGTATCAGGTGCATTAGGATTTGGCTTAAAATAGCAGATGCTCCTTACATTATAGATGGATTTGAGTTTTGTTCCATGTACAATGTAAGGTTTTGGTTTTAACTTGTTATACTTGTTGTGGTGTTTTAGGTACAAGCTGCTACAAGTTTTACTTGTCGTGAATCTGTTCAACTTGGATGAAACACCAAAGTTCACTGAGCCTCATTAAATGTGGATGATCAACCAAGCAGAAAATTAACTATTGATAAATAGTAATTCACTTTAAAAGTGTGAGTGATTAGAAGGCTGCCTTAATTTACATGAATTATTCTTGTTTAGAGAGTTTCAGTTATTTTAGAATCCAATACACACAGGATGTTGAGCAAGTAAGTAAAATAGTTGTAGTTCTAGCAGAATATTTACCTTCGACCTCAACACTTTTAGTTTTGAAAACAGTATATTGTGAACTCTCCAAGTAAAAGTGCAGTGAGTAACTAATCCTTCAAAATATGGTAAATGTTGAAATAATTGAAGGATGCGTCACGCATCAAAGATAAATGATATTTTGGAGATTATTTTTTGATTACTTTGAAGAGCATTTATTTATTACGACCGTTTATAATCCACAATCCAGAAAGTGACAGGAGTTGAGGATATTAGACCAAACCTCAATGAAAAATGGACTTTACAAAGTCCGCTTTTAAATTTACAGCCTGAGGTGAGCTGCGAACTGGTGCCAGACGAAGAGAAACGATAAATCATCTTCTCTGCTGCTCTGATTGAGAATGTGGAAAGGCTCAGATTTCACCACTCAATAGAAGTTTCGCTGATTAAAGAGTAGCTCCAAGACTCCTAAAGGATATTTTGAATGTGCTGTGACTGTAAATGTGTCAAGTCATGTCATATTCCATTTTGTTTTTGTGTCGATGTGTGTGATCACTCATGTATTGGTTAGACTGTATACCATGTCTCCTTGATGTGTTCAGTATATACTGTGTGTACACCATTGATATTGATATTGGCGAATCCTCTTTTATTTCCATAATGTAAAAAGGAACTAATGTGATTGAACAGTTAAAGCTCAATTTTAAAATATATAAATGTTTTCTTCTAATGTTGGAATCGTTTTTTGGTGTGAGCAGAGCAGCGGGGAAAATATTGGTTATCATTATTGGCTAAAACATAAAACCTAAAAAAGTAACACATTATTTGTAAAAATAAAATGTATTAAATAAATAATATGAAGACGAGAGCATGACCTCGGAGAGCGCATACCCCACCAACACCAAAGAACGTCCTAGCCTGGGTGCAGCCCTCCCGGAAAGTTTGGTTAGACTTTTCCCTATTTGGGCAGAATTATGTCTGAACAAAATCTTATCGAACCAATCAAATTATCAGAGCACCTTTATACAATGATGAGCAACAGTAACGTAAGCAGCAACATAACATTTTCTCACACGATACAAAGAAATGAGGAGTGTGTTTATCACGTTGCTCTAGTTGGTTGTTGAACTATAGAGCGAGGAGTGTTATTACTGGGTTGGTTGGAACACGCCCCATAATCATCACAGAACCTCCCATCTTTACACCAAATTTCAGCTCAATCTGTCAAGCAGTTCTGCGCAATCCTGTCTCCAAATAAATACACACACAGAGACAATTACAATACCCCCTGCTGGCACGGTAATACACAGCACAACCACTACTCTTTGAAATGTGCAATATAAATGAGTGTTACTCCGTATCGTATACTTTCTCATTGTGCAGTTTGTACAATGACACAATCTCCATGCCTCTGCAAAACAAAGAAGTCGCTAATAATGGATTTGGAAAACTGTTCAGCCTTATTGCTAATCAGATGAAGACAGAAATTGTTGCAATCCAAAGGCGTCCGTACTCACATTACATCACAGTTTGCTGCATATGACGCGCTGTATTATTATAGGCAGCCGGTAGTAAAAGTGTGAATGTGAAGCCCCATAAGAGAGGCATTACAAGGTTAAAGGGAGGTGAGCTCATGTTTCCTTATGGGCTGTTTATGGCAGTCTGAATTAAAGAGCTCTCCAGGCTCCACTGCGTTTGGCTTGAATTACAATACATTAGAGTCCATTCAGCATCCGGCTCCCGCTCTGTGTATGTTGGCTCAATGATTACTAGCGTGTAGGGAGTCTTCTAGGATAGAGCTTTAGCCTAGTGTTGTTATTTCAAAAACTAAAGTTGTGTTGTCATTGCTGTAATGTGAACCAGCAGGATAAAACGATTGAAGAAAGGGGGCTGCTCTCTACCACTGTCAGTATTCAGAGCCATTGGGTCAGAGCCATTGGGTCAGAGCTTTCGGTTTTACTTCAGCCTCCTTTCGTCCTCTGCTATAAAACCACAATTGCTCCTCTGGGTCAATCTAACCAAAGGGACATATACCTCCAAAAATTATTTAGAATATTACCTCTCCTCTAGTGCCACCATTAGGCCAGAAGTTGGAATTAGAATTAATGTCTCTTGTTCTTTTTACACACATTTTCAAATTGACCTCTAAAAATGAATGACCACAAGTCTGGTTTTGATTATGATAAGTATGACCTTTCCTGTAGCGCCACCATCAGGTCCAACTTTCACATGCATGACACTCAAAGAATGAACCATGTTGATTGATGTTTGAGACCTCCCATTTCCTCATAAACCTATTTATTGACTTGATCTATCTTTTTTTGGATTGTATTTGTGGCTAACGATAGCGTTGGTCACCACAGTGAATGATAAAAGCAGTCTGCATGTCCCCTACTCAAAGTGAATGCCAAATCTGCCACAAACTTGTAAATTGTTTTGTTTTCTATATGTCATTATTGTTAATAGTTTTACTTTGTTTGATTTTATCAGAGGGAGGAGTGGGGTGCATCTTTTCTCATCCTTAATTCGCTGTATATTGTTTTTGTATGTGTGTGTGTATATTTACATGTTTGTGTTTATGTTTAGGACTCCCTAAAAAATGAGAATATTCATCTCTAGGGGTTTTCCTTAATAAACTTAAACTAAATATATACATGAAGCATAAAGTGGTTTACCTGATCAAAATCAACACTCATTAAGAGTTATTCCACCATCCTGAGTTACTGCAGGGCTCGATACATCTAAAGCTATCAATGAAAATGTTGAGATATTTTTTCTATAAAACAAAATAATATTGAGAACTCATTGCAACAATTCTTTCAGGAATCATAAAATCCCTCTTTTACAGTTTCCAAAAAGTAGAAGACCCCCCTATGAGGTCACCCAGTCTCCCTCCCCAGTCAGATTGATGCTTCATTTAGCTCCATTTGAAAACTCCAGCTCCATCAGTCACTAGAGCATGGAAATTACCCTTAAAACCTCTATAGTCACTGATTTAAACCCAGATTAGTGCACTTTCAGTTGCTGGAAAGTTCCCTTTTCTCTTTTATTGCAAAGTGCAGAGAAAATCCGAAATAATTGCGACATTGTTTTACTACTTATTATGCTAAGTACCAGTGTGTTAGTGCAGCTATAAACTTTGACAGCTGCATGTTAAATGACTAGGTCTTTATTAGGGCTCCATTTAAATGCTAACAGGGCTAACTAAGTGTTGAAACCTACTTTAATTTTACGATACAGCGTGTTTGTCGGGACTTATTACAGCTAAATTGACAATTTGCCATTCATTTTAAGATGCAAGATTGATTTGAGAAAATATAAAACTGTTTGAGAGGCATTTAGGAGTGCAAATCTGTTTTTTAGTACTTGTAATGATAAGTAGTCCATCAATTGATTTCCTATTACTTTGTTGATGTTGAGAACAAAGTTAAAGATAAAGGAATGAGTTGTTGCTGGGTTAATGAAAGTTGATTAGAACTTTTTGTCATCTGTTTTATTGTATAGAAAGCCTCCACATGCAATCAGTCCTCTGTCCACTCCTGCTGCCACTTGACAGAGAGCGAGTCACGGTCTGGTTGGTTTTGTCAGATCTCCTGCTATATCCCAGCATGCAGAAAATCAGATTAAATATATTAACCACGTCACAACATGAAGCCGGACCCCGCAAAGCACTGATGCAAATTTGAATGCCTGTTTCCAGAGATTATTAGACTTGAATGGCTTTGTAAAGACGTTTCTTGTCTACAAAAGTGCTAATAAACTTTCATGAAAATGGGTTTGTTTTTATCAGCAAGTTGTATTGTAATGGATGGATTAATTTTCTATTCAATTTATTTTTGTATGGCCGTAAATCGTAACAGCAGTCGTCACAGAGGACTTTAGAAAGTTGTCAATTCTGCAATAACAGATTAGAGAATCAAATAGTTTGAACACAGGAAATGCTATAATACCGTAGGGGTGGTTGACCAATGTCCATAAAAATGTCCTTATATCTATTTGTCCTTTACTTTGAGGGGCTTAGGGCTTTTCAGTTCAGTTCATTTAGACAGGACCAGCACCAAAGGAACACAGAAGGAAAAAAAAAAAAAACAGAAATTTGGTAAATATTTTTATGCAAGCCCTTTTATCTATATTTTCTACTTTATCATAAGTTGTGAGTGACATGAACCAAAGCAAATTCCCAGGTTGTCACTTCCTGTTACTCACAACAGCAATGAAAATAATTCTGATTAGAACAAAATTTGTGATTTCTGAGTGGATTATTTGCATCAGATGTCTATCAAATCGACTCCACCTTCTGCTGAATATCAGAATCAGAATCAGAATAATTTTTATTGCCACGTAAGTAACAGGAAGTCACAGACTTGGAAAATGCTTTGGCTCAGTGCAACAGTCAGAGAGAGATAATAAAAAATAAAGAATAAAAAACACTTCTAAGGAATAAATTTAAATTTATAATAGAGTATACTATTATAAAATACAGTTACTATTTACAATATACAAGTGCACAT